TTGGATTCCTATTTTTGGTATGTTTAGGAAATTTCTTCCTGATAATTTTGAATTACTCTAGATATATTTTGAATTGTTTATTGATCTTGATTTTTAGTTTTATCTAACAGCATCATATCTTTGCTTTCCTGTTCTTTTTGTTGAGTTTATTTGCTGTGTTTGGAAAGGTGTTTTGGCCTTTAGCCTTCAGTAAACTTTGTCATTTTATACATGAACAATCTGATCTCAATATGGTATTATAGAATAAAAACTTTACTGTTTCTGAGTCAGAGATGACCTTATGAATGGGCACTATAAATAATTTTACGGTGTTATTTCAGTACTTGGATAGCACAGAGGAGAAAGAATTTTGAGAGCATCTCTGAAAAAGAAAAAGGACACAAAAGGGGATTGTGAAGACTAATTTCATAGGCTTTGTAACTTGCCAGTTGTATTTTATTTATGCAGAGGATTTGGACATAATTTTAATTGCGTTTTCATTTTCGATGGTAGCATTAGTGTATTGGATTTAAAATTCTTTCATAGAGTAAACAAATTTCATTTGTTGTCTTCTATAAAAACAGGAAAATATTAAGTAAAATTAGGATTTCATGGCTTTTTCAATGCAGAAATTACTTCCATATTGAATTATTTAAATAAACCTTCTTAGTGAATGACCATGGAAAGAGAAAATGGAAAAAGGATATCCTTTTAGGAAGGTCTCTTGAAAGGCCTCAAACTATTAATTAAAATTTTTTAAATTCCTTTTTATTTAAAAAGGAATACTAGGATGACTTTAAGAAAGAGAACTGACTTTCAAGAGAAAAATTATTAAGTTTCCTTGGGATGGCAGCCACATGTAACTTGAAATTAGCATTTGTAGTTTTCTCTGTCTGAATTATACTATAAGCATGGATCAGAAAGTATGGGTGACCTTAGGTGGCAGTCTCAGGAAAGCATCAGTTCTGTGAGACTAAGAGACATCTTGAAAAGGGGAAAATGTTCCTCTTGGAATGTAAGTGATGAAGGGAAAGAAGAAAACAACTGAAGATAAGGACTTTATGGAAATAAACTAGTATTTAAACAATACAAATTCTGTTCCACTGCCACCACACAAAATAGTACCATTTATTAAAGAAACTACACTTCAGCACAGCCACAGAAGAGGGTGCTGTTGAACTGAGAAACCAAATAAGCCAGCTTCTCTCCTTTTTTCCCCATTTCAAGATAAATTGCCTTTACTAATCCTGAAAGAGCCAATGTATATAATCCTCAACAGGAAAAGAAATCAGCATCTATATGAAGTTATTGTAAGAGTAAAATAGGAAATTAAGATCAAGTCTAGTTTGTAAGTTATATGTATACACAGATACAAAGAATGAAAACAAAAATAAACATGTCAAAGAAAAACTACAAAACAAAGGAAAACTGAAACGCAATACTTGAACACGAATTGCAATAAATAAGTGATTGCAATATAAAAGGGCACTATGAATCAGATATTTTAAAAAATCACAGCTGAAGTAGACAAACAGGAGCTTTATCAACTCTGTGAATTGACAAAAATCATCTTAGAAGTGAAAACTAAATTACAAGATACCCAAGGGAAGATAGATATTACCCAAAGTTCAGTAAAGGACATAGAGAATAGAAATGAAATAGTCAAGAAAGTGACACTGAAATAAGAGAGATAAAAAGGATTAGAGATAAAATGATAGAGAAGCTCTATTATATTTAGTTCCATGCTTGAACTATAAAAACAAATGAAAAATAAACAGAAGTAGTACTTAAAATTTTAATAAAAAACTTTTTAGAAGTAGAATACTGAATTTCTATATTGAAAGGATGCCTGTTTCCTGTGCATCTGGGAGAATTGATTTAGAATAAACCAACTCAAAATATCTGAATATTAGACCTAAAATAAAAAGGGAGAAAAAGTCCATCTGAGCCTACAAGTAAAAAAAATAGCAAGTAACATAAAAAGGGTAAAAATTAAAAACACATTAAAAGTTAAAATAAATGGAAAGAATATCAAGCTGGCATTGTACCTCTTGACCACAACACATAAAGCAAGAAAACAACAGACCAACATTTTCATGACATTCAAAATGAACAGTCATTTTAGTTGATTATGAAGCATTAAGTAAAAAAAGTCATGTGTTCATAGTGATACTCAAGATCACTATGAATTACATATGAGTGATTTTGAAAAAATGCAGTTAGGAAGAAAATTTTCAAATGTATCCTTTGTTGTTCAGTATTTGAAATATTTAGATGTGAACTGTCATGATATCTGAAACTTACTTTCAAGAGATTTAGCAAAATACACACACACACACACACACACACGTGTCTAACAGTTTTTTGACATTTAAAACAAATTGCCAAATTTCAAATACTTTCGTGTAACTAAAGAAATATCTTTTATAGTAAAAGGAAATATGTTGTGAGTAAAACGTATTTATCTTCTACGTTGTTATTTTAGATTTTTGCAGTAGTCAATGAAGAGTGACTTTTTCATATTTCTCTGTATTTTTAGAATTATTTTTAGTGATCTAGTACCTCTTTCAGCAGTTACTGAAACTGCTGGTACTTTCTCAGGAGTTAGGATAGTGGCATTGTATTCTTGCCACTCAAGAGCACAGTAAAAAAGAAAGCAACAAAAAACAATGTCAGTTTTACTTAAGAATTCCTTGGTTGAGGAAGGAAAAATTTTAATAAATGATTTGTCTTTTTATTCCTGAATTATAGTATTTACATATTTTTGATAAATGTCTTTTCAGATAGATAATTTGTAAAAAATTTTCTCCCACTTGATAGATGTTTTCACTTTCTTGATTGTGTTCTTGAAACACAAAGTTTTTTGAATTTGATGGTGTCCAATTATTATTTTTTTCTTTTTTTGCCTTCATTTGTTTTTTGTACACAAAAACATGGATAGACTTTTGAAATGTACATTGTGGAATGTTTTAGAGCAATGTTTTGGTTTGTTTTTGGTTTTGTTTTCGTTTGTGAGTGACTATATATATATCTGTGATAAAACATACTATATGGATTTGCTAGGATGGCCATAATAAAGTATCACAGACTGGGTGGTGTAAACAACAAATGTATTTCCTGAAGCCTGGAAGCTAGATGTGTCTGCAGGATTGATTTCTTCTAGGGTCCCTCTTCTTTGCTTGATGGCTGTTTTCCTTTCTGCTGTCTTCACATGGCCTTTATTCTCTCAGTGTGTCCTAATTTTTTCTTATAAGGACACTTTGTGATATTTGACTAGGGCTAACCCCAAAGACCCCATTTAACCTTAATTATCTCTTTGAAGACACAGTCTATTAATGTAGTTATATCCTGAGTTACTGGAGGTAAGTGCTTTAAAATGTGCTTCTGGAATACAGGAAGAGGGACGTAATTCAACTTGTAATAGATAAATAACATAAAATTTAATTTGTTTAGTTTATTTTTACCATTTGAAGTACACAGTCCACAGGTATTAAGTATATTTACATTATCATGTATTGTCACTATCCATCTCTACAATTTTTTTCATATTGCAAACTAAAATTCTAATTATGAAACAATAACTGCCCATTGTCCCCTCCTCCTAGCCCCTGACAACTTTCTTTCTACCTTCTTCTTCTGTAAAACATAATGTTTTGAGACAGTTTATTTTTCATAATTTGTAAGAATTTTCAAAGTTTCTCGAAATTGTTACGTTTTTATGCTAATCCTAATCTATACACAAACTTTCACCTAGATAAAATACACTTGAATTTCTTTAATCCTGTCTAAAACTTTGTCTTTATTTGTATATCTGCCCTTTTTCTTGGGAGAGATGCCAAAGTTACCAGATTGCTTTACTGTAGCCATTGAAATTTGGGGCCAGTCTATATTTTTCAAGAAAACTCAAAAGTTTAAGTTTTTAAATTCTAATTTTAATTTGATAAGTTGATGTATAATTCACAGAAAAAAATAGAAAGGAAATTTAAATATGTGAAGTTCTCATCTTGAAATCTAGTGTTTGCTATTTCTAAAAAGTTCAATAACTTTTTAAAAAAACTTTAATCAGAAGGTTTTAAAAAAACTTTAATAGGAAGGTTTTCTAACATTCTTATTCCTGTTCTTTACTATTTTATATTGTATTAGATTTGTATTATGTCAATTTGCAACTAATTTTAAATGTATATATTTAAAGGAAATATTTTTCATATAAAATGAACAATTAGGGCTGGGGTTATAGCTCAGTGGTAGAGTGCCTGCCTCTCATGCGTGAGGCACTGAGTTAGATCTTCAGCACCACATAAAATAAATAAATTAAATAAAGATATTGTGTCCATCTACAGCTAAAAAAATTGAATAATTATGAACAACCAATTGTTTTTATTTCATTTTATTCATATATTCATTCAACAAACATTGAGTATTATATGGTGAACACTAGATATACAAAGAAGAAAAAGCATGATTTTTCTCTTTAAGGAGATAAAAATAGTATACCTAGACTATTAAAAGCAAACAAAGAAAAGAATTGGTGGTTGGTCCTAACAGATGTAATAGTGTGGGAAAAGTAAGAGTTCTGGAGATGGAAGGCCTACTCCGGGGTGGAGAGTAGTTGGATATGGCCAAAACAATAGACCGGTAGATAGAGAAGGTGTTGCTAAAGACAAGGCTTGCAAGAGATTGGAGCCAGGTTTTGAAGGTCTTTAAATGCTGAGAAAAACTACCTCCTATGAACAGAGGGTTCTTCAATATTTTTAGGACTCGGAGTGAAAGATAGGAACTGAGAATTTTAGGTGAAATTAGCTAATTTTATAATAATTGCAGTTTGAATACATTTTTGGTCATGACCTTTAAAATTTTTCATTGGGTAGTTTTCAAAAATTATTGGTACATACTGATTATTTCAAAAACTTATGTTAAATATGTGTATTGTAATATATTTCACTAGTGGCATATTTAAATATTTTCCATATTTAAAAATAGTTTTTGCTTTAGATTTGTGTTTTTTATTTCTTTTGTTCTAGCTATACGGAAGACAGGATGGATGAAGATCTAATGGAACCTTTGAAATATGCTGAACAACTTCCTGTAGCTGAAATAATACACCAGGTTTGCTTTTCATTTTATTCTTTTGAAAGAAACAAGATTTTTAATCTCTGAAAAATAATTGCTTTTGTTAGTTTTCCCCCAGAATCATTGTGCTATAGCTGAAAGGCATTCCAGGCCATCTATCCCTACTTTGGCTGCACTTATTACAGTTAAGTCTCATTCAAAGCACAATATTAAAAGGCTACTTACTGTGCAACACTAGAATTCTTACTTATGTGAAATACAAGGTAATTGGAATTATCTTTTGTATATTGCTTAATAACAAAACTTAATTTCAGAAAACTTTAATTTTGAACCATTATGTATAGTACTTGTTAGTGAGAAGGAGAAAGACCTGAAAAAAATATCATTTTTTGGAGTAGCTAAAAAGAGAAAACAATCTTGCCCTACTTCTTCCACCCTCCTCCATTATCAACCCTTGTAAAGTATAATTCTAAATGTCATGTGGGCAATTTGTTCATTTCCAATTATAATGACTCTCTCATCCCTTCTACATAATGATAATTTTAGAAAAGGCAGTGTTGTAAGTATTTAAGCTTAGACTTTGTACTATAATTTTGGCAGCATATAACCTCTGACCTGCTGGGCCAGAATCTAATACTTCTAAGTGTTCTGTTGACTAGCATTATAGCCTTTACACCTAGAAGATTTTTTAGACCCTTACAGATGATAGAAAATATTAAAAGCCCTATTACATGTTAGAATTTCTTAGAATTTTATGAGTATTAGTTATTATTGTGAGTCTTTTTATATGTCTTTTTCATTCAAAAGAAATTTTATTTAGCTGATATGGGTTGATTAGAAATGGCAGTTTGAGTTTACTAAAAGAAACAGGGACTTTTACTTTCAAATGTTGGCTATATAGATCTTTTCACCCGTATAAAAATTTAGTATTAAAATTCTGTGAGAAATTATTTTAAAAAAATGGTCAGATATTTGCCCCTTTGGGGAGCTCATCTGTGCTTGGTAATCAGGTCCAGTTTATATGTCAGGAATTCCCCAGTGTTGTCAGAGCTTAAATGACCTAACAGTCTGCAAATGTCACATTTAAAATTCTGTCTTCATGCCTGACTCTCAGCATAAATGAATTAAACAACAGAGCAGGCAGCAAGTCAATATGTTCTTAACAGTAAGAGTGAGCAGTGAAACAGTTTGTGGTTTGTTCAGAATAGGTAAATAGAATCTGCCTAGAACAGTTCACCTAGAATAAAATCTGAAGAGGAAATAAGAATTAACCTTTAAGATGGTTGACCAGTTGAAATGTCAGTAATATTTTTATAGCATGAATGAACCAATAAACTAACCTGGTTTATGTAACATCTGTGTTTTATAGTCATACACTGTGTGAATTCAAAGATGAAGTCTATTGAGCCTGGTGAAAATTTTAGTTTTTTTTTTTCAGTATAAAAGGCTGTTAATTTTAAGACTGAAGTATAAACATTATAATTAAAATTACGTAGTACTGAATTTTATAAAATTTCAATCTTTAAGAAATCTTGCATGGGTAGGAATTTTTAAATTCAATTTTTATTTTTATTGAACAAAATTTTTTTCTCAAGGAGTAGTCAGAAAAGGTCATTGTTAATATCAGATTCTCCATTTATTCCTGTTGTTATTTCCCTTTTTTGACTGTACTATAACTTAGGGACTGTTGCCAATGAGTTGTTCAAGTGGTCTTTAAGAAATATATGAGTTATGGACTAGAGACATGGCTTAGTGGTAGAGTGATTGCCTAGCATGGAGGAGACACTGGGTTTGGTCCCCAGTACTACAAGCAAACAAACAAAAGAAATATATGAGTTATGTTGCCAAAGTTGATTTATAAGGTATTATAAAAGTATCTTTTCCCTAAGAAAATAATATGATAATTAGGTTTAGTTAATTACACAAAACTTTTCAATCTATAATGTATTTAGATTACATTAATCTATAATGTATCTAAATATTAAGTAATTACAATTAAATTTAGCATTATTGTTGTATATAACTAGCCTCCACCCGTATCTGTTTGTATGAAAAATAATCTTGCATCATACTTTACCTGTTTTAGAGCATAGATTATTTCTATTTGATATAAAGTTGTTTGCATGCTGTACACATCCTGTTTGATTATCTTTCTGGACATTCTTTTTTTTAAATATTTTAGTGGAATATGGACACAATATCTTTATTTTTATGTGGTGCTGAGGATCGAACCCAGTGCCTTACAGATGCTAGGCAAACGCTCTTCCACTGAGCCACAACCCCAGCCCTTTCTGGACATTCTTGACTGATTGATATTCCTTTGAGCATCTTGTATTATGCCATCTATACATGAATTTGAATGTTTGGATATGTACTTTGAAAACCAGGGCAGGCTCTCTTTTTCTCTTCTCTATTACCCAGGCATTAGAAGCCCGGGACTCTCACTGATAGCACCATTTAGAAGCTGTAGAAGAAATGGAGGATTCCAAGAGAGAAGACAGGGACAGTGTCTATATTAGGAGGAGCAACTTGAGAAATAGAAGAGAGGAATGAGTCTTAGACTTTGACTAATTCATTTCTTGTATATGATACTTAAACTGTTCCACAATCAGGAGCAAGTTTGGATTCTCGTTATTTACCAGTTGGTATTGCCAAATTATTTACCATTTTTTTAGTGGTCCTACTAAATATGATTGATTGTACATCCGAGTAACCCAAAAGATTCAAGTTACAAACAATAAAACTAATAAGAGAAACTGGTGAGGTAGCAGGATAGAAGTTAAATAAAATTGACAGCTTCTTTGTATTTACAGTAAATACACAGAAATGGAAATAGGAAAAATGTTGAGCTACAGCAATGCAAAGAATATTAAATAATTACAATTAAATTTAACAAGTAAACCATATGACCTATAGTAGGAACCATGGAAATGGACCAGGTTCTTGACAACTACTCAGTGGTGGTGAGGGAAAAACAATGTCATAAAAGCATTTGTTCCCTCAAATTAACAATTTTAATTATAATGGAAACAAGTTTTCTTTTAACATTAAGAAAAAACAACCACATGATTTATGTGTAAGAATAAATGTCCAAGAATAATCAAATAAAGTATGTAAAAGGGAGAAGGGACTTGCTTAACTAAACATCAAAATATTTTCTGAAAACAAATATCATTAGGTAAATGTGGTATAGATAAGGAATAGACAAATGGATCAATGGAACATAATGGAGGAGTAGATTTGAAGATTTCTTGGTTCTGATTCACAGTAAGAAATATATTTTACATGCACGCATCTTGGCCCTTGATGTGGATGTGTACATGTGTTAAAACAAAAGTTTCATGACCCATTTACCCTCATTACATATAATATACTCTGGTATTTTCTTTTCCTGTTCCATTTTGTATTTTTTAAAATGCCAAATAAAGCCCACAAAATTGATGTTGTAAGTAACAAATGGTCTCAAAAGATATATGACTCAAAAGACACTATAGAATCCAGAACAAAATTTATTATATTTGAAAATTTAATATATGATAAAAATAGTATTTTATCTCAGCAGGAAAATAGCTAAAATTCTATTTCATACCATAATGTATACAAGATAAATTTTATTTATTAAAGACTTATTCTAAAATAAAAAAATTAAAATCTTAGAAGAACATTTAGGCCACTGCTTGAATAATGTGGAAGTAGGAAAGGATTTCTTCAAAAAAATTTTTTATAGTTGTAAATGGATAGCATGTCTTTATTTTATTTATTTTTTTATGTGGTGCTGAGGATCAAACCCAGTGCCTCACATGTGCTAAAGGCAAGTGTTCTGCCACTGAGCCACAACCCCAGCCTAGGAAAACATTTCTGAATGAACACAAAAAACCCAGAAGATGGATTTAATACCATAAAAGTGGAATATTTTAAAGGATTCAAGGAACCATTAAGTTAAAAGACAAATGTTAGGATCAAGACTGACATGTTTACAGGGCAGAAAATAGCAAATTGATTAATATCTATAAGATACAAAGAACTCTTAAAAGTTTAGAAAGATACTAAATTTTTAAAAAGTTTCATTGAAAGAAAAGATGGTAAGCAATTTAAAGAAAACCAAAATGATCAGTGAATAAAAGAAGAGCCTTAAACTCAATAAGGAAGTACATATTACAAATCCACTGTAATTATGTAATGCCTATCAAACTGGCAAAATTAGTTATACTTTGGAATTTATTTGGGCATTTTATCAAATGGTTAAATAGTTATCATGTGACCAAGTGATTATAACATAGATATATACCCAAGAAATATAAAAAGTCTATATGTGACCATATAAAAACAAACAAACATTGCAGCATCCTTTTTTGGGGGATGGTACTAGGGATTGAACTTGGGGGTCATTCAGCCTCTGAGCCACATCTCCAGCCATATTTTGTATTTTATTTAGAGACAGGGTCTCGCTTAGTTGCTTAGTGCCTTGCTTTTGCTGAGGCTGGCTTTGAACTTGTGATCCCCCTGTTTCAGCCACCAAGCCACTGGTGTTACAGGCATGTGCCACTGAGCCTGGCTGAAGCAGCATCATTTTTATTAATTGAAAAAAATGATTTCTGAATGAACACAAAAAAAACCAGAAGATGGATTTAATGCCATAAAAGTAGAGTATTTTAAAGGATTCAAGGAGCCATCAAGTAAAAGACAAATGTTAGGATCAAGAAATAACCTAAATGTTCATCACCTGCTAAGTAGATACATAAAATATATCCGTACAGCAGAATATTATTCAGTAATAAAAGGATGTAAAGTAGTAACATGCCTAGATGAATCTTATAACTTATTAAGTGAAAGAAGTCAAATACAAAACCCCCCCATTTATATGGTTCCATTTATATACAATGTCTAGAATAGCCAAATCTATAGAGTCTGAAGGTAGATGAATGATTGGTTAGCTCTGGGATGAGGTGGGGGAATGAGTACTCCCTGCTAATAGCTCAGGGTTTCTTTTTTGGAATGATAAAAATGTTCCAAACTTACTAGTAATTATTGCATAT